GGGTTGTTTCCATGGCTGCAGGAGAGAGGTGGGCAAATGCCGCCTCAGGCTTCTCACCCTTCCCAGCCTGGCACCAGTACCCTGGGGAATATCTTCTCTCACTGCCTGGTCCCAGACTGCTTTGGAAGAGAAGTCACACACCCAATCCTAGCAGACTCTTGAAGTCTTATTTCATCAGCCTTTGGCAAACTGTAGTTGTTCCCTAGATGCCCACCTGCATAGTAGAACCCAGTTGCTGGGAAAGGGCTCCCAAGAAATACGGGTAGAGACAGAGGCAGGGCGGACTCACCAGCTCTTTGAAGAAGGCAGCTTCCTTGTGCTGCTCAGAATACCGCTCATACTGGTCCAGGCCATCCTGCAGCTTCAGTGTGAGTGTGTCATAGTTGGCTCGCACTACCTCCAGCACCTGGGAGAGGTCAAGGGCCAGGGAGGATTTAGATCATGCAAACCCTAGATCACTTGGCCCCAATGTGTGCCCCTCCTGCTGCCCTACTGCACTGAATTTAGTCTGGGACAACACCTCCGACAGACAGACTCTGCTCACTATTTATCACACAGAAAAAACACCTGGTCACAGGGAGCAATTAATTCCTCCGGTTTCCGAGACCATTTTCTAATCTCTTCCATTCCTTGCTTTTCCTGACCACTCCAGCCTGGCCGCCAGGACTGTTTACTCTGGGTATGGTAAAAGAGCATGAGAAGTGACAGAATAGTGAGTGTCTTAAGTTCGCCCGTGTCCTCATACCATAAATTTATTCTCAGCCATATCCTGCAGCTTTCTCTGGCCAGGCTGTCATAGTTGCTGAGTAAGACTTTGCCAATGTCTCTTTCCTTTTCCCTTTCTGGGAACCACATTTCTTCAGTCCTGGGATGTTCCTCAGTACCATCTGCCACTTGTTTTCACCTCTCAATGCCAACTCAGTCTTCCCATCTGTTGCCTGGATTGAACTTTTGGGTATCTCAGCCTTGGGGTATTGGGGACACTCTAGATGAAGCTAGAGGTCACTTCATCTTTTGTTCTGATGAGGGGGTCTCTCTTCCCCACCATGCCTCTCTGACTTTTTGTGGTGGGGATCCAGACCTCCATTAGCTCCAGGAACCTTGGATCTTTGTGGTTACAAAAGGAAGGGACTACCATAGCCATTCTTGATGTGACTTCAGTTTATAAGACCATGAATTAAAGGCAAGGACAATTAGGAAGAGAGGCACCACATCACGTTAGAAGAAATGAGCTGGATAGAAAGGAAAGATCAGGAGAGGGAATGACTATTTTCTCTGGTAATCTAGATGACAGCTATTTTGCAACTTGATCTGACCTAGAAAGGAAGTCTATGACATCATGGAGAGCTCCCAGCTCTGTCATGGAGAGCTCCCAGCTCCATAGGGAGCTTTAGAAGAATGAGTGAGTGATGAGGGAGGCTTAGCTTTAACAACAGATAGGGGTGAAGGGAATAAGCTAAAGTCAGGACTGGTCAGAGGGACTGAGGATGGACTCCTAAGGAGTGCAAAACTGTGTCTGTGCTGTTCTTCTCACCAATTCAGTCTTGTGCCAGGGCAGACTTCACTTGGTAGCAAACATACTTCTGAGGAAAGGGTATGGATGGAGAACACAGGGAAAGCTTGTATCCCAGGGTTTGGGTAGAATGGACAGCTAGGGCAAGGGTCTGGCCCAGGCTTCAGGCTTATAACTTAGACACTCAGCTCTTTATGATGACTTTGCCTGGCTAGGTATCTCAGACTCCAGTATAGGCTGGCTCCTTTGCTTCTAATTCAATTTGTCACCTCTGCCAGTAAGAAGGACCAGTACCTAGCAATGGCAGTCACCTACAAAGTAATCTGGTCCTCTCACGCACATGAGCTATGCTTGTGACTGGAATATCTACAGCCAAAGTCTTGGCTCAGAAGTGAACAGCTCAAACCTGGAAAAAAGGCAAAATTCCTCCAGGATGGAACCAGCCCCCAGGAGCCAGGCAGAAGAGAATAATATATGCTTTCTCAAACCATGAACAAGAAGCAGCATCAGCAATCCCTAAAACCCAGTAACTTGGGCTCCACCTTCCCTGAGGGGTGTCAGGTACCAAAACACAAATACCACACTAAAGCCGGTTTCTGAAAAGAAGGTGCAGCATGTCAAGAGATACTGTATCCGGCAAGGCTGCCTCAGTCACCTGGGCTCTCTCTTCTTGCCAGGGCAGAGTAGAAGGTCTACGATCTCACTCAGAAAAGGGATTTTTCCTTTCCCAGTAAAGTTGGCTTTTTCCAGGACAGTTTAGTTTGGTTTCTTACAGGGAGGTGAAAGCAAAGAAGGCGCCTGACCTATCAGCAACTCAGAAGGAAACCAGAGGCCTTGCTGGACCTAATGAGTGATCTCAGCTTTCCTCCTGTCAAGACCTTGGTTCTTTATCCTCTTTTACCCAGGGGAAAGTTGCCCTTCAGTTCACCCAGCCTTTGCCATCTCTTGCTCTCATATTTTCTCTTAAATTCCCAAGAAGACATTCTAAGCTCAGGTCTGGGCTCTAGGCCAATTGGGACTTTGGAGCACTAGGGTATTTTCCTAGTCTGGGACTTCGCTTTCTGTAGATTCAGACTTGAGGAACATGTCCCATTTGAGACTTACACTCATCACCGGCCTGGGATGTGGCAAGGGCAGCACTTAGAGGGCAACCTCCCAGTGCCCTTGCACTTAAAGGCCTTAGGTTTTACCATAATTTGCAGCCTTAGTCTCTGCCTTCCTGACTCCTCCTAGGCTGAGATCCCTCCCTAATACACTGGGTACAAGCTCACCTCCTTTCATCAGCTGTTGGACTTTGGGGCTTCCTAGAACCATGCCCACCACCTCAGCTCAAGATAGCTACAAAGTCAGTGAATCATCTATAAGCCACATGCTCTCTAAAGAGTCCTTCTATCCCCACCTATGACCCTCTGCAGACAGGAACCTGGTTCCTGGCAAGGCCCTGATAGAACAGAACTGGGAGTCCCACTCTTACTATGGGATCTCAGACAAGTCATCTAACCTCTCTGAGCCTCAGCCCTTCTCTCTATAAAATGGAACTTGACTTCATCTTCCTAAAATGATATGGGAATAAAAGTTTTGTGTTCTTGAAAGTAACAAATAATTGATGGAACATTATCATCCCAATGGATACACAGGTACCTGGACAGCTCCTTGGACTCAAGAGTAACTGCCTTCACAGCCCAGGAAGTATCTACCTATTTCAAACTATCTTAAAGAGTCTATGTGCATAAATGATTCTTCAATACAAAGGAGCATCATCTGAATTTAAGTGGAAGAAACAAATGGCCTCAGTTTAGGGAAAAACAGACTGGGAGGAGCAGAGAACCAAAATCCCTTCCCTGAGGTCTCTGGAGGGGAAGGGGCCTGACTAGGCTATGAGGTTAGAGAGACTTGAATTTCAGTCCCATGGACCACTAATGAGCTATGTAAACACATACACATTACTTAGTCTCTTTGAGCCTCGGTTTTCTTATCTGTAAAATGGGGATAACACTATCTACTTCATAAGGCTGATGGGAGGATGAAATGAGATGACTGTCCAATGTCTGGCACCTATGAACAGTCTATAAATGGTTACTAATTTTGTGATGAAAGCTTCTTTCTGGTGACAAGGGGCATTTGGTAGTTCTCATTCCCAGATAGTTTTAACCATTAATAAGCCAGCACCTAGGGCCTTACACATCTTCATTCATATGGCAGATTCTGGTGAGGAGAAAACCTAATTTCTCTATTCAATATGAAAATAGGTTTCCCATAATTACTTCACTATACTGAGAGTAAATGGCAATGTGTCAGTTAGAAGTCAGAGAATGCCCAGTACCCACTGCCAACCTTAACAATTTTGGCAGTGCTAAGGATAAACTGAGCAGAGATACCCACAGAGGTCAGCCTTGCATCATATAGGTTATGAGGCTCTTGGCCACATCAGGATGGGGAAGGAGAGAGATCCCAGTGCACAGTTAGTTCGAAATTGCTGACAAGGTTTCAGACACACATATACCCTCCCCCTAGTACACACAATGCACATTCCTCAAGGACTATTTAGTGACCTGTGCCCATTTTTCTTTTAACAGAGCCTTTGAAATGGGAAATAACTTCTAGCCTGAAGATATCAGCAAAGAATAGTCAAGTTGGAAAAGTTTCTGACAATGGCTATACAATCTTGATGTCTGATGGCTTTGCTGTTTAGTCTGTTTAGTCTCAAATCTCCGTTGGACTGAATTCTCAGTAGAATGAGAACTGGAGGACAACTAAGTAATAGGATGTGACCTGTCAGCAAGCTTGTGTTCATTACCTTCTCAGTTTGAACTGACATCTATAGTATAACCTATTAGGGGAGAGTATTTAAGGTTGCCACCAGCCCACTCCCAGCCTAGACAACATGTATGGCCTTCTCTGCCAAGGTGCCAAATGAGAAGAAACCACAAGATACCAATAGAGACTTACCGAAACTTCTTATAGAATAGGAAATATTACTAGTTATAAGGCTTTGACCTCTCTGAGCTTTAGTTTCTTTATCTGTAAAAGAGTCATCATATTTTCTTATAATATTATGAAGATTAGAGATAATATATGAAATAAACATAAAAATATAAATGATAGCATCTAACAAATAGAAGGTGCCAAATGAATGAAGGCGATTGAGAAGGAAACAAAGAAGAAAAATGGAAAGTATTTGATGTATTCAAATAAGATGAATCAGGTAGTTAAATGGTGGCCAGAAGGGTCCTGAGTTATCACTAATATTTAAGGAGGGTGATATGGAAGGCAACCATACCTCTTTTTGCCAGAGTGTGAGCACAGGGGTAGAACCACAGAAATAATAGTTTTACAAGGAACCTTGGAAATCTCCTACCTAATTCATGGCCTTCGTCTTACAGATGAAGAAACAGATGTCCAGAAAGATTATAAACTGCCCAAAGACACAAAGCTGGGATTGGAAAACAATTTTCTCACTCCTAATCCAGTGCTCTTCCTATACTGGCAGACTAGTTTAACTTGGGGCATGTTCCTGAGTTTAGGAGCTAAACTTGATCTCTCAGAGAACAAACATTCAAATAATTCCAATCCACTCCTAAGCAGTGGGAAGCATGATCTGCAGAGCACGAGTGAAGGCTGGTTTGGTATTTGAGCGTTAATGACTTCGAGGTCCTTGAGGCTCCAGGACTTGTCAATTTCCAAAAAAAAAGCAGCAGCTAAGCCCTTTTGTAGTTGGTATAAACCACCAACAAAATTTTATAGACCACTCCAAGCTCATCAGCAAAATCTAGTTTTGGTTTCTATTTTAATTAATTAATACCCATTTAGAAGTTTGAAATTCAAAGGTCTTTAACCAACTGGGCTTTTTTGGCCACAGCTATCAAGTGATCTCCCGGGTAGGGTGAGTGTTA